GCGCGAACCCAAGTTCGTTGCGGAACGCAAGTGTTGGGTTCGTCTCGGAATCCAAGTGCGGGGTTCGTTGTGAACCCAGCTCCTGGGTTCGTCTCCGAACGGAAGATGAGGAGATTTTTGGTTTAGGGAGAAAGAAAATGAGGAAGAATACGGTAAATATTTTCGGTTTGTTTCTTTGATTGGATATTTTTGGTTTGTTTCTCTGATTGGATGAGTATTTTGAATTTGTTTCTCTGATTGTCTGATTGGATGAGGAAGAAGAAATCTGGGCTAGTCGGTGTGAAGTTATAAATTGGTGCTTTATATGGTAGTTTTTTCGTAAATAAAAGGAAGTGTGCGGATAAAATGGAAAGATTATGTCAATTTCATTAAACATGGGGCGAGAAGCTCCCGCGAAAGTAAGAAATGGAAGCTTCCGAGCTTTGCAAAGGAAAGGTGAGAAGCTGAGTTTCTGAAAAGCTACAGCCCCTTTAAGAAGCTGACTCGTTTGATGCAATTTGTGCTTTTAGAACCAAAAAGCTCTTCTCATAATATGCAATCATCATAGGACGCAAGCCATGCTAGGTCCAACACTTCGAGACCGGAAAAAAACTGTGATTCGGACTCATGGGTTAGAACTCGGTATCTATCTGGTCCATTAAAATGGGTTGATTCGGTGTTTTTTATTTTTTATTTTTCACAGTGCTGATTAAAATGAAAATTTTACTATTTAGCCGCGCCTGCAAAAGGGGTTTTTAGGGTTTGAGTCAGAGAAAAGGTCAAAAACCAGAATCAAGAAAAAGCCTGAAAATGCCTCCATTGCCGCCGGAACTAGTCACCGAGATTCTCCTCTGCCTCCCGGTGACGTATCTCCTGCGATTCAGGTGCCTTTCTAAGTCACATTGCGCCGAAATTGACAGCCCAGATTTCGCCAAGGATCATCTCAACAGGTCAATCCAGAGCAAAACCGGCCAAAAGCTAATCATCCACAACGTAGGTTTCATGGATCAGACCGATTTCTATTATGCTGAGCTTGATGACAACCTCGAAGATGCCTACCTACTCAACAACCCGTTGAAATCTTCGCGTCGCTGCACCTCGGTATGTGGTTCTTGCAATGGTTTGTTTCTGCTGGGTATTTTTGTGAAGGACCAAAACATGGATTTTGCCCTGTGGAATCCATTCACTAAGAAGTATAAGAAATTACCCCCTTGTCCGGTCCAAACTAATCCTGGGTTCAAAAGATTCATGTGTTTTGGTTTAGGATATGTGTCTGCCACCAATGACTATAAGATTGTGATGATTTCAAAGGTTCGGAAGTCAAATGATGATGATGATGTTTGTTTTCAAGTCTGGGTTTTTAGTCTGAATTCTAATTCTTGGAGGAGGATTCAAGATGTGGAGGACGAATTGACCTCCCGGGTCGGGTTATATGCAAATGGTGCTCTGTACTGGGAAACTGAATATAAGTGTGTTGGTTTTGATATCACAAATGAGGTGTTCTTTGACCTCCCACTATTGTCTGATTTTGGCCCAACTTCCATCTACCATGATTCCATGGTAGTTTTTGGAGCTAACCTCTGTAGTCCTGTAATACGCAATGATCCTAATGGTATAGAATATTACTTGCGTGTGAGTGATAATGGTGGAGAAGTTGCAGGTGGTAGTTGGAGGAAAGAATTCACTTTGGAGGGAGAGAGGAATATTCTGTTCGATTGGCCTTTGCCTTTGGCATACTCAAAAAAGGGGGATAGCATTCTGGTTAATAAAGGAAATGTGATTTATTGGTATAACTTTGAAAACCAAAAAAGAACACGGGTGGAGATTCTTGGGTTCCCTCATGTTCCAACCTACAATTTCCATGTTTGCTCGGAAAGTCTTGCTTCTCCTGGGAATGATAGTGCATTTGATGGCAGAGCAGAGGAAGTGATAATAGAGGATTCAAAGGATGATTCAGAGGCTGATTCAGACTAACAGAGCAATGTAAGACATCAAAGACTAACAGAGCAATGTAAAGGAGACTTCTTTTGGGAGGTTTTAGTTTGCACATACTAATAGCTGTTGCCGAAATGGGTATGTTTTTGGTTAGCAAGGATGGATGATGGTATTTCAATGAAATTTCGTTTCAATCCAACTTTTGTTTAGCCCTTCTTGTAAATCCTAGTTAGTACCTTTTGTTGGATTTTGAATGGCTTGAAGTGGGGCTTGGGATGTTCCCTTTAAATTCTAGGTTTCCAAGAATTTCAAGTGTTTGTACTAACTCTCGTTTATGAGTTAGATTAAACTTCCAGCTTCATGTCCAGAATGGTATTTTGCACTTTGTTATGTGTTTATGCTTGGTACACTGCTGCAGGTTGGGCAAGGCATGTTATCAATCAAAGACTTTGTTTTGCTTTTGTAAAAGCCTTATATATCAAAAGCTGACATTTTTCCTAGTCATTCTTGGTTACGGTCTCAACTTTACTCAAGTATCCTTTGTATTCTTGCTTGGGAGAAAGAATATGTGATTCACACATGAATCAGGAGCTTATTTTAGTCTAGTTCAACTGTTTTTGGTACTTAACCCCTTGTATAAAGCCACATTGGATTTTGATTAATTCAAAGTCAAACCACATCGGATCTATAGGGAAAAATCTTTTTCAGTGTGTATCTCTTTATTTATAAAACTTGAATTTGAAATTTCATTTAAATGGAACTAAACTTTTTCTATTCAAACTAACATGTAATCGATTTTAGTTTAGTTCATTAAAGTGAAGGATTATGTTTTTTATTATTTGAAACACCATTGGATGGAGGAGTCCACCCTCAGTCCCATGGCCTCCTTTTAATCAAATGCTTAGTATTTTGCAGCTTTTTGTATCTATCGTATGAATTTGGATGCTTGGAGATGATGAATCTTCTGTTAAGTTGTTGTGCCTTTGTGCATCTTTGTCTTGAGTACAATGAAAAGGGGCTTTCCCTCAATTGGAATTGCAGAGATTGGCTACTCACTGACCATGACTACAATTAATTAATGTCCTATGTTCAGCCTCTTAAAATTAGTCTTTCACTAGGCAATGTGCCATTTGCTAAGGAAGTATAGAAATCTGTGTTTGGCTGCCCTTAATATCTATCGATCGGGAGTACGAGCAAATAAACTGAGAGTGGTCCATTACCTGTGGAGGGAACGTGGTGGTGGTAGGAAGGATCGTCTATTGCATGTTAGTTTGATAACTGCTTTTGATTATTGAGGCATATACCAGGAATGCTTGGTGATATGACTATACTGAACTTGCAGAGATTGGATTAATAAATCGTATCATTTTCTAGAAAAGGCTGAGCACACTAGCAAGGCAAAAGAATTGTTAAAAAGAAGGCAATAGACAGTCCCCATAACAATGAAATCTCCATGGCTCAATATAATGCCATATCAAATTTTGATAAAAAGCTGTTTTCTCACCAA